CTTATCCGTAAATTCATCAAAGTTTAGGAGGCTATAGCGGTTTCCACATAACCCCAGGGTGCAAAGCGAGTAAACCATTCGAAAGTTCCGGGTGATCCGCTCAGTCCAGCGAGTCTTCCCCCAGTTGCAACCTTGAATAGGAGCATCTTGGAAGTTCATAGAATTCATACAAAGTAACACGTTTGGCAACGTAATCGATCAATCGAGAAAATCTTACTATACTCCCACCAGCAACTGCAGCGTTTGAAGTGATCACGACGAACGGACGACACTAGCGGTTGTAGCATTTAAAGTCTAACAAAAACCTTTGTGATAAAACGGTACCGACCTGCGACTCTTGTGGCAGTCCTTGGCTTGCTGTTTCCCCCGCTGTGATATCAAATAGCACGTTAGCTTGAGACAGTCATTAATGGAGTAAAAGCTATTACAATGGTATTTACAGTGCGATCACGCGACTGTCAACATTGTTGCGTTAGAATCTTCGTGATGGGGCGCAAAGTGGTGAATTATGAATTATCGATCCTGACAGGATCACACTCCGACCAATCAAAACACGCCCTCGTTTGGCTCGTAGGTAGCACGCGAAACGTCAGTGATGTCGCATCATTTGAGTTGACTCTCTCATCTCCTGTTTACGTCCTCATTTCACAGTGTGCCACTGTTTATTCTATAGGTACAACATGAGTTAACCAGCTGTTTATCAGAAGAGTTGGGAATATTTAACTGAACAGTACTCATAAGGTTGTCGGAAACTCTTCAACAGCAAATGAATGTACTTCGCCAACTGCGTACACTCTGCTCTCCAAGTGGAACGAGGTTGATGGGATGGTGTCCGTCTGATGAGTACCGAGAGTAGCGAAATTGTAATAGACTAAGCCTTCAGCAATCTTATAAGCGATATGTTCAGTCAAGAGAAAACTATACACTACGATATCTCAAATGTCGTGTCAACTGAAAAGTGAGGCCGCCTTTCTGTGGCATATACAGTTAAAGAATAACATAAACAAGAAGAGAATCAACCGCGACTTAGTTGAATCTCCCAACAATCACTACCTTCACTTGGAAATACGTGGCGATCGTTACGCACCGCTACCCTCCCTAACAACGCACTGATAATGTCACCTCGATTGGTAAGGAGCTAACAACGCACTGATAATGTCACCTCGACCATACTCAATGAACGTACAGCATATAACATCAAGTCCTTCACACGGATATCTCTCCAGAAACCGACCAAACCCAAGCAGGACCCACGGCTAATTTCTCTGCCAGACACGAGCTATTGTGCCTCTCCAGCTTGAAGGGGTCGGCATCCAAAAGCCTAAACACCTCTTCCTTCATGGTTGCCTCCCAAGAAAAGATTACTAGACAAGGTGCTCACTCTTCTTTCTCATGTATTTCTTGGTCGCTTGAGCTACGAAGTTATCCGCGAGATAGTTTACAAAAATGGCTTACAGAGTTCTTTATCAGTGCGTGCTGACCATCAGACCTCCACAGATGTTACCAAATCAATAATTGCTCTTCATGAAAAAAAGCCGCTGCTAGTGGTGCACACTCAGTTGGAAACTAGTTCTGATCTCTCGCATGAGCGTCACTCAGCACCAAAACCATGTTGAAACATCGCGATGAAGTTTGGCGTTGACAAGCGGATATTCTGCTGTAGACCATAGGAAAACGGGACCAGATCAGGGGTTGGGCCCCAATCAGATAACCAAGTTTAGGGAGGATGCACAGCACACTGAATTTATGGGTGCCGATGGACAATTCGTCAGTGTTTAGTGTATCGGATCGTGCGTAATGTGTTGCGATTTGACGTGAAGCGCGGATCAGCGAAAAAGAGCCGCATGAGTGATCTCACGGGTCGTCTGAGTAATCGTAAGCTTTCTGAAATGGCTTAGGCTGTGCGCCTTCAGTTAAGTCATAATTTTAAAACGTCCTCCATTGTGATACCCATTGATGATACCGGAGAGATGATTCTCTTGATACATTCTCCATTTTCCGGGGAAATTAAACGCCCACAGGCCGCACTCATATGAAATTAGGTGGTGACGTACAACCAATTCAGGAGGAATCTGTAGGCATGGACAGCTCTGGAGTTCACCGTTATAACGGGAATGATAGCCCTCATTCCAATGAAACAATTGTCCCTCATTCAGATGAACAGACACTATGCATCGGCCGTGCAATTTCGATCGTAACCCACCTATCCTAACTCATAGCCGAGACAAGAGCAATCGAGATACCGGGGTTGCATTCAAACCACGGACCCCGTGGTCAGTAAGTTCGCGCCTTAATCATTGAGCTATCTAGAGCTAGACAGAAACACCTACCTGGATGGAGTCGTGGTTCCAACTATATATTTCAACTACTGAAGAAGTTGCTAGTAGTTGGGTTTTTACGCGACATATTTGAAATCTCAGCCAAGAAGACGAACATGGGGATGGACAGAACAAATGCGCATTGACAACGGATGGAACAGAAACGGACAAATAAGCTGAATAAACAATTGATGATGACAAAAATGCTCACATGATCGCAGGGCAGAAAAAATAAATCATCTGCTCCAACCAACAAGCCTAGAGATAATCTGATTCGATAAAGACAAAAATAATGAGGTAAAGCACAGAAAATACAAACGTCCGCATTATTAATGTTGACTAAAAGCCACCTGTACGGAAGACACAACAAAGCAGCTACGGTAGCAAAACATATGTGACAAAAGGAATGATATATATATATATATATATATATATATATATATA